AGCGAGCCTAATGAATGGAGGCCGGAGGCAGCCCGGTTGAGGGGGAGGGGGCGGGGACGGCAGGGAGCACTCGCATCCAACTTCTCTGGATGCAGCTGAGTGAGTAGCTCAGCAGGGTTGCCAGATGGAGTCCCACGGCACGCGGAGACACGGTTCCTCTGGCGGCCTGGGGCGGAGGGGCTGTAAATCGCTGGGTTTAGTGGGAGGTTGATGGCTGGTGTTGGGGGCTGTACGACAGTGCCAGGAACTAGGCTCTGATGCTTTTCCCATTTGCAGAGGGTGCCCCCCCCCCAGGACGCACAGATCGCCGGTGCTTAGGGGAATCAGACGCTATTTCAGGGTTTAGCACCTCCTTGTGCTTCCCAGTTTTCTGCCTCTCTTTCATCGCTGTCGGGGCCATTTCTTCCTGCTGGGCGTTCCTCCCTGTCTCCCCAGCCCCGGCGGGAGCTCTTGTCTCCTGGAGGCTGCCGGGCAGGGCCGCTGTGCGCTACCTGAATACCTAGCAGTAATCAGACCTGGCCCCAGAGAGAACTCCCTGCCCCTTCCCCTTGCAGCTGTGTGGGAGTCTGTACAATGGTAGGCGTTCAGCTCTGCATTCGGCTTCCTCACTCCGGCCTCTCCAGTGCAGCCGGTCATACCATCTGGTACTGTCCCTGTCACTTCCCTGTCTGCCCCATCACCCCCAGGGAGGTTGCACACGGCCCGGATTCCCTGCCGGTTCCCACTGCCCGAGGGACCTCAGCAGGGATGTTTGTGTAACCCAAAAACCAAATGAATTGCAGGAAAATCAAAGGCCAAGAAAGTGCAGGGATCCGCGGGGAGCCCGGACGTGAGCAGCGAGGATGACGACGAAGAGGGCGAGTATGACATCGGGGAGGAAGAGGAAGCCAGTGACTCGGACGGTGAGCAGCCCGGGAGGAGGAGTGGGGAAAGGAAAGGGAAATGTGGACGGGACTATAGGTTTCAAGCCCGTCCTGCAGCCTGGTTTTTGGGAGCTCGCTGAGAAAGGCAACGAGCCCCCTTGTGCAAGGCTCCCGGCTCCAGGCAGGGGGCATGGGAAGGGCTCTCGTGCCTGCGGTTCAGGGATGAATAGGCTGCTGGTCCCTTTCATCTCCTTTCAGGGGCCCCCTGCAGAGAGGCTCAAAGGAACTTCGCACAGCCCCACTCCCCACACGGGCAGCGAGCACATAACACTTCACCTGCGCAGAGCAGTGGTGATGCTTTTCCTTTCTGCTTAACCCCCTGGCTACCGGTTCTCTCCCGTGGGGGGGAACGCGGCTGGCTGAAGCCGCTGGGGCGGTGGCGTTGTAGCGGAGACGCCCGGCGCGTGTGGCGGCCGTGGAGCGATGAGGTGGTTGCGTGCACGGACCAGTGCTGCATCCGTGCCGCGATCGCTCCTAGCGTGTGTCCTGATTGTGCTTCCCCGTTAGCCGCTGGTGCCCGGAGGGGGATGCGTGCGGGCGAGAGGGCACCCTCCCTGGCTGGCCCCAGTGGGTAAGCAGCAGTTCATACCAGCTGTGCTGCTTACGAGACCCAAAGTGCCCACCGTGAGCTGGGTCACCAGGGGCCAGCTAGAACCTGACACACAGCCAGTCGCTTGTCTTGCTCAGGCCCAGAGCCCCACGTCTCTCTGCTCCCATGGCGTGCGCTCAGCGGCTCTTCTGGCAGCGTTACCCACGTCACTCCTGCTGCTCAGCTGGCAGAGCAAGGCCGAGCCTGCCAGGCCCTGTCGCGCCTGCTGGCACCTTAGCCCAGTTTGTTGCCATCTGTAAGCGTGGGGGCTGGAGCGCGATCTCAGTGCGGAAGAGCCAGCACCGCCATGCCCAAACCCACGTGTTACGGGCACTGGTGGGAAGCGGCTGCAGTTCTCCTGGGACTGGCAGGGTTGGTTTTTTTGCTAGCTAGGGGGCGTCTAAGCCAGAGCATTGCCCAGAACATGTCTGATTCTGCAGGGCAGATGGCTGAGGCTTGGCACAGTGCCAGTGCCCAGATTAGATGGGCATTAGATCCATGACGGGACAATGCTGCAAAGGCAAAGATGCTTGGGAACATTTTCCTGTCTGCTCTGGGAGTGCTCGTTCCCCTGCCCCACGTGGCTGGCATGCTGGGGGGGGCGAGGGGCCCCCCAGCTGACTGGCACAGAGCACTGGAGTGTCCCAGCGGGAACTTTCCCCAGGCCTTTGGGGCCCGTCCCCTCGGGCCGCGGGAGCATTTGGCAGAGCTGGGCTGGGATGGGGGCCCTGCGCTATGGTGCTGTGCCCCAAACGAATCCAGAGTTCTGGAGTGAGAAGAAATCGGGCGCTCACCCGACCCCTGGGGGAGGCAGTTCCACGTCTCTGGCGCGCTGGCGTTTCCAAGGCACCAGCCAGAAGTGCTAATGAGCAGTAATGTCCAGCGTGGCATGCGGGGACTGGAGCGTCTCCTGCCAGGCCAGTGGGTTTTGCTGGCAGTGCCCCGGCAGCTGACTCCTGTTCCACCCTGGGCATAAGACCCAGCTTTCCTCCAGCTCTGCCGTATGCAGGTGTCTGTGGCCATATGGCGTCGGCGCTGATCCTGGGGCGGTGCTGTGCCAGCACAGCCCAGGAACCAGGCACCGAGACAGCCCTGGTTCGGGGGGAAATTAGTTCTGCTTTGCATGGAGCTCACAAATACCTTCAAAGGGACCAGGGGCTCAGACCGGGGTTAGTTTTCCAGCTGGGGTCCAGAGCCTCTGCGGCTCTAACCCTCGCAACCCCCAATCGAGATCAGCATAGAGGGAAAAGCGGCTGGATTAAGGGGAGCTGGGAGGAGAGGGCTCAGGGTCTCTTAGGAGCTCTGCTTGGCTCCCTCTCCCCTCCCTGCTTCGAACGCTGCATTTCACACACACACACACGGAGTCTGGACTGGAGCAGGTGCTGCTCCGGAAGCCCCGCAGTGCTCTCCCTCCTGCTCTCTGGGAGCAGCAGCGGCACCCGCATGTTAATTAGCGATGGGTCGCCCCCTCCCGATAGCCGCACGGGATTTACACCTCTTTGCTCTCTCTGCCCGCAGGGGGAGCTGAGGAGGGGCCCTCCACCTCGGAGGGGACCCAGAAGCAGTTGGCCTATGCCAGGCGACTGTCCTCGGCCGACCTCGAGCTGCTGGCCCAAGGGGAGGAGGACATCGTGGAGGACCTTGCTGACGATTACTTCGACGACCTAGCCGGTGACTGAAGCCTCCGCAAATGCTCTGGGCTCCCTCCCTCTGCGCCTAGGAGGGCAAGCTTGTGCCCTCGCCGACAATCGAAGCTGGTCGTGATGGGAACTAGGCCGAGGGGAAGCCCCGAAGGAGGAGGTAGGAGCAGCAGGGGATGGGCAGCCCTAGCGGGACGGAATTTCTCACTGATGCAGCAGAGACGCTGCCTGGACCTTTTCCACCAGAGTTACGTTAGTGGGAATGCAGTGAAATGTGTGGTTACATCAGGACCAGTAAAACTGCTCAGCAAAGGTAATAAAAAGCCCTCATTAAACTCCAGTGCCTTAAATAATGCAGGAGCGCCAGCCTGCTGGAGCCCAAAGAAACCAGTCCCTGGAGGGACAGGCTCCTCTGCCCATGTGGGCAGCCACCCACGGGGCCACTCGCCCATGGGCTGGGCACTCTGCCAAGCTGGGCACAGGTTGCTTGCCATGTGTGTCTTTGCAGCTTCCCGGTCCCTGGAAAGCAGCTGAGCGCCGTGTCCACACACACGAGCTGTGGGGGTGAATAGGGACGATCACGCCGACTTGGCAGACGAAGGGCGTGCACCGGTCGGCGGGTCAGTTTGCCCGGGGGGGAACGCATCCGCCAAGGGAAGGCGGCTTCGCCCCCAAGCCTCCTGGCTTGTCTGCATCCCGAAGTGCTGCTGTGCAAGCACCACCGAAGACGGGCTGGCAGCAGTAGCGCTGCTTACCTGGGTGACGAGAGGGTTTTTCCTATTGTCCCTCCAGCACAAGGTCTCAGTGAGCAAACTGGGCTGGCTCTCCTATCAACGCCCTTGCTGTTAACCAAGTTCCAGTTCCAGGCTCTCCGGTGCATCCTTCCATGGGGCTGCCGCGGGTTCAGCGGGGGGCAGGACCTTAACCCGCAGAGCTGCCTTTGCCGGGGAGGAGATGCCAGCTTGAATCCCAGACCCCAAGTTTAGTGTGCAGGGCTGGCAAGCGGGCAGATTCGATAGCATCTCAACACATTTTCCTAAGTGTGACGCCAGGACGTGGCATTTGGACCACGTCACATCTCTGAGGTTTGGAGGAGTGTGATGATTTTTTTTTAAACATTTCCAATACTACCTTAGCAGGAGAGGGCTACACGAAGGTAGGGGCATCATTGAGGTGCAGGACCCCTGCTGCTTCCATGGCGTTCATGGGAGTTTGTGGGTGCACAGGGTTGATGAAAATGAGGCCCCTGCTGCTCTGTGCACCCTCGGGAGTGCTTATCATGCAGCAGCCACCTTGTGCGAGGGGCCCAGTGACAGTACGTTCCTATTGTACATCTCTGAGGCGCTTCACGCAAACTCTTCCACAGCAAGACTGTGATGTGCCTCGGGCAGAGGCAGGGCTAGAAACCAGCCCCCGTGGGTCCCTGTGCTCCAGCCATTGCATGGTGCTGCCGATTGTGAGCATCGCCATGAAGTCATGTTGAGAAATGGAAGGAACCGCTTCTAAGGTTGCTTCCCTGGGGCAGGGGTTAGATTGGGAACAGCTGATGAGATTGAGTGAGTTGTGCTGAAAAACTAGTGGGAGAAATGGAGGTCATTTTCCCCTCCACCTTCATGCAAGCCAAGCACAAAGGCTGTGTGGGCGGGGGTTTTCACATGCTCATTTTTCCAACTGCATAAAAGTTAAAGTGGAAAAAATGGGGACAGCCTCCCCTCTCCAGCTGCCATTGGATTGTACTGAGAGGATAAAAACCCAGCCAAACCTACCTTGTGCTGTTTTGTCAAAATGTAAAATGACCTTGGTGCATAACTTGATTTTTGGCTGGGAAATGTCAGAAGTCCCCCTGCCTTTTTTTTTTAACACTATTTTTGGCAAGAAACTTTTTCTGTAATACATTCTTGACTAGTTCCTACACCCTCGCTATTGGGTGTGCTCTCTCCCCTGCGCCAAAGTCTTCCTTGCAGCAGCTGTGGCAGGTGAAGCAAAACATGCCCTAGCTCCTGACCCCGCCGGGCAGAACAACTGCTGGAGCCCCCAGGAGCACGGCCATAGAGTGAGTGCAAGGTGAGAGGTCTGTTCTAGCAGCTGGGCACTGAGCAGACCTTCTAAGGGGGAAAGCACGGACCCTTTGTGATTTTTTTTATTTAAACTGATTGCTGGAAAGCATTTATTGTGATGGGATGAATAATGACAATTGTTTTTTTACAAGATAAAGAAGCTAATGTACCACCAAGCTATTTTTTATAAGAAAAACGGTAGCCCGTGCAACGTTTAAACAAAAAGAGAGAGAGAGAGCGCGCAGTACCATGTGTGATTGTTGTTCACAACTGTACAAGTCACAGGAGGTCACCCCCAGGAGTTACCGTCTTCTTCACAGTAGTAAAACCTCTACCCGTGGGTTTGCCTGACCTCCCTACCTCCTATGGGCATGCACAGGTACCTGTCTCATAGGCCTTAGCAGGCCAGAATGTGCAACTACATCCACCTCTGTAACAAGGCTTTAAAAGAAAATAACCCCTCCACAACCAAAAAACAATATCAATGAGTTTGCTATACACACGCAGGGGAGGGGGGGCGGCTAGGAGGAGCCAGGGGCCTTTCCCCCTCCCCACCACACCCCTTCTGCTATTGTTTGCTTTCTTCAAAAGAAAGTTACCCAAAAATAAAAAGTCCTGGAGGGGCTGGGGATGAGGAGACGCTGCCATAGTCTGTCGTCTCTGTGCGCGGTGAAAGCACCGCGGCACTCAGGGGGCAGCGCCAAAGCCGCCTCTGCCGTACCATCCGCACCGAAGTAAACATGGACCGGAACTTGCCTTTTGTCTGTCTTTGGTATTGTTTTAAAAGTTGCTAGAGATGCATAGACACCTGAACAAGGAGCTGAGTACAATTCTGGGGGTGGGGGGGTTGGTTTGCTCACAGTTCGGGGCTCTCTGCCTTGGTGGGCAGGGTCACCCCCAGCAGTTCTCCAAAGCCGCGTTCCCGCGAAGGCAAACAGACGAGCGTTCCCATCTCTGCCGGCTGCTCTCCCGCGGGTTTGGGCAAGCAGGAAAGGGGGAGCAGGGCCAGATTTCTCTCAACCTGTTTTTTCCTCCCTTGAATTGCTTTCAATAAATCTTTGGATTTTTTTTCCTTCTTTGATCTTTTCTTATTGTGGGTTTAAAAGAAAAAAAAAAAAAAAGTGAATGCGCACACACAACCCTATTTCCCTCTTTCCTTGACCCTCCGGCTGGGCGAGAGGGGCCCCTTGTTCCGTTGAGTTTGTCACAACGTGTCTTAGTACTGGAGGGAGTCGAGAGGCTGTGCAGTTACGATGCAGGTTTCGTGGTGTCGTTGATTCCAGCCATTAACGAGGGGTTTCCATTTTCCTGCTTTGGTGAGATGCGGCTAGCGGGGAGCAGGCTGCTGCTGTAGGGGGAGGATACGCTGCCTGTAGAGGATGGGCGGAGCTCAGCGGGTGCCAGGTCTCGGTCTGGAGGCCGTAAGCCAGGGGGCTGCAGCGGGAATGCCATGGGGAAGCTTGCCATGTAGAGAACCCTGCCAACTCTCTTGGCCACCTAAAACAAACCGGAGAAAAGAGCTTACCAGGCAGTGGAGGAGCTTGTGCATGGGTCATAGAAACAAAGCATGTCGGGGGGGGGGGGGGGCAGCAGCGAGCGTTGCTGCTGCAGCCTGTTGCTCAGCGTGCTCTGGCCAAGCTGCCGCCGCGTGACAAGGAGGAATTGACAATACAGGCGCAGGAACTGCACCATAAAACGAAACCAAAGCAGGCCCAGGGAAAATTAGCCATGGGGAGAAGACAGTCCTTTGTGACCCACGTTAAACCAGGCTCACGTTCCCTGGAAGTAGAGGGTGGCCAAACATGGATTAATATTTTACACAAGGGACCTGGGTGTGTGTGTGTTTTGTTAAATTTCAGATGTCGTGTACCAGCGGCTGTTGGTTCATCTCCTTGGCCCCAGCAGTGCCTTTCCACGGGCGCTTCCCTTTTCTCGAACCCTGGTTTGGGCTGGTGGTTGCTGTGTTGCACTGAACCACACAAAAGCTCTGCCTGAGCCCAGATAGGAAGGCAAGTGTTTGAGACTCCAGCCAGCCCCAGCCCCTCCTGGGACAGTGGTGTAACAGTCACACAGCACTGCTCTGAAACCAGACTAGTTCGTCAGACCTGTGGGAGCTCAGCCCCCCCCTTCCTGCTCTGTGTAATTCACATCCCCAGTCCGCCACTGCAGGAACATGGCAGCAGCTCCAGTGCCACATTTGAGCCCAGCATGCCTCACTCAGTGGAAAGGCCAAGGTAGCTGCAGGAGCATTAATGGCAGTGCATTGCCTAAAGTATATCTCGCTTGCTCATCTTTACAGAGCACACGCTCGGGACCCTGGCTCTAGCGGCTCCTGCAGCACCCACCTCCCTTGGGCAGTAATTCCACAGTGCCCCAGCAAGAAGAGTGGCCCCTAGGAGCCTGGCTCCCGGCCGGCTGTAGAAAGAGGCATGGGGTAGGGAAAAGAGAGGAGCACTCGGCACTGTGCCTTTTATTCTCCAGCCCTTTGGGGAGAGTGGGTTCTGGCCAGGCTGTGCTAAAGAGCCAGCGGTTATGAACCGAGCTGCGGTGCATGCAGCCCCTTGGGGGTAGGCGCATACACTCTCAGGGCATGCCCTAGTCCTGCCCTGAAGCAAAAGCCAGATCAGGGAGCTGGGACTCCCCTCCCTTTCCTGGGAAGTCGCACCAGCTGCTTGCTACACTCCTTGAACTCCACCCAGGGGAGCAGCTTGCTGCTTAGTAATTTTTTTGGGGGGGAGGAGGGGGGGAGGAACCAGAAGCGTGCAAGGCAAGCAGGCCATTGCAGACCGCAGCAGGGATGTGTGGAGAGACCTGCTATCATTTCCTCTCCCTCGCAGTCCTGTTTGCTGTGGAAAACACTAACTGCCTTCGCCAGCCCAGCTTGAAAACCGCCTGGGAGCTGCACCAAGGCAAAGGAGCGGCCTGGCATGTGCTGTATGATGTGCTGAGGCCCTGGATGCCTAGATTTGCATTGGGGGGAGGGAGATGGACTTAGGGGTGGCTGTTGTCAAATGCATAAGAGGCTGCACTACCCCTCCCCCCCCCATAGGCACAGAAACTTCCCCTGCAGCAGTTCCCACCTCCCAACCAGGGCCCAAGTGCTCACCATGTTTCAGCACCTACACAGATGTTCTGCATTTAAGCTTAACTAGAAACAGGCTTGTGTTTAACCCAAACAACTGGGGTTTCTGTTAGCAAAATGGGGGCTTTGCCCCCCCTCCCCGTATAGAGGCAGGGCTTAAAACCAGATCTCTCCCCCCCCCCCAAAATCTAAACCAAGGACGTCTGTGAGCAAGTTGGAGCTCTCTGGTTTTAAGAAACCTAAGAGTTTTATTTCCCAGCGAATTGATCCACAGGGAACAATTGCCCACAGAACCTTTTTATTAGACCCCTCATAAACAGTAAGGGCTGCAGGGAAAGTAATAAAGTTACTCTTATTGTTTTAACATAATACAACAAATGTCTAGCTTGTGGGTAAGAGAAACTAAACCCGTGTGTGTGTGTGTATCCCTATATCATGATTATTTACATAAATTAACACACATATGTATGTAAAATTGCTGTATACACATGTATATCATGTGCATGTAAGACAGTAATGCATGTCTGTACATACATTATACATTTTATAGAATTTATATGAATGGTTTATATATATCATTACGGTACTGGAATTTATATTAAACACCCATTCCCGTAACGTTTTATATGGCTATACAACAATACATCTACGTGTGTGCATGTGGATGGGTCCATGTGCACTTTGTTTTACAGATCCCGGTTAGAAATGTTTCTTTCCCTTTTAATGTTACCCTCGATTTAGAACTGCAGGTGCCTTCATAAACTACATTTTACTTCCCTTCAAAAAACAAAACAAAAAAAACCTAGTGTTTTTATACTAGACCCTATAGCATTTGTGTTTATTAGATGAATTTTGTTGGACAGTTCAGACACACTGACCCAAACAGGAACAAATGGCTCTAAATCCCAGGAAAGTGCTGGCTAATTATCATCAATCTGGCCTCTCCCTCTGAGTCTGTCATTGGCATTCGGAGCAGAGGGGGTTAGGACCTGTCAGCCAAACCATGGCCGAGGGGGAGGGGGAGTGAGTGATCACTGCCTCCATTGGGGGCACAGTAGCTTTGCCCCACCTTCTTTAATACAACCAGAAGCCTGATTCAGCCCTCCCTGCCTCCAAGAGTGTGTCTCTCTACATTGCATCTGGGAGTGAGCCGTGTGTTCACATGCTAAATACAGCGGTGCTGACAAACGAGTGCTGGTGACACTTCTATAGTGCCTTCCCTCAAGGCACTCACACGCTAGGGAATTAAGCCTGCTCGCACAGAGGGGGCGGGTTATAAGGAAGGGGGTTAACCTCTCTGCCTGAATCACTGACGATCACAGCGTACAGAGCTTTGAACCCAGCTCCTGGTGCTGCAGATCAACCATTAGACCGAGCTCCCTTCGTTTTGGCCTTCACCCCATATTGTAAGTGGGGTACGGGGGGTGCAGCTTTGACTTGCTCCCATTTAGACCACACCAGCCGTCACTGCTGATGTGTTCTTACCTGTGACCTGATCTTCAGAGCTGGCCCCAGTTTGAGCCCCATGTTGTTCAGTAAGTGCTCTTCGGTCAGGAGAGGCAGCGTCTCGCCATCGATAGCCTGTTCCCTGAATACCTGCAGACAACCAAAGCACACCTCCATGCTTACAAATGCCAGCGCAGGGCACATCACATGCCTTGAGCTAGCAGCACGGGAGGCCACAGCAGGGAAGCTGAGGAACCCATTTATTATCATTTGTTGTGCGGTAGCTCCTCAGAGCACTAGTCTTGAGCCAGGACCCCGGTGTGCTAGGTGCTGTACAAACCCAGAACAAAGAGAAGGTTCCTGCCCCAAAGAGACTACAGGGGAACTTCACCACCCAACCTCGGCTTCCCACGTACATGCATTTCCCAGCATGAAGGTGCCAAGTTTTTCACTGGCAGCCACAAGGAGCAGTTATTGCCAGCTGTTGCTGCCCTGGTATGAAGCATGTTCGGAGGGTCTCTGGCCATGTCCATAGTGGTGGCATATACCAGAATGTGGTTGCTTTTCCGGATCCCACACATTGTCCTCACGCTTCTTTGCAAAAGTCTCTCCTGGTCCTGTAGGACCCCTGCACATAAACGACTGAGTCCCCTCCCACCACTCCATCAAGACACAAAAGGGCTTCGAATAATCTAAAAAGGCTCAGGTCATCCTCTGAAATATCCTTATACATTTGATTTCCTGATCAAAGATGTTCTTCTCAGAAACCTCCACTGCCGGGAAATAACCTGTTCAGGATTGATTTAAGCAAAACCCAGGCCCTAAACACTGCTCACGTGCCAGACAGACAGATGGCTAGGCAGTGTGTTCCCCATACAAACCATGCCTCAACTACGACACTCACACTTTGTCCTGCCTTTTTATCTGTGCTAACATCCACTTTACATTAATTAGATACAATCAGGGCCGGCTCCAGGCACCAGCCCAGCAAGCAGGTGCTTGGGGCGGCGAATGGAGAGGAGCGGCACATCCGGCTCTTGGGCAGCAATTCGGCGGCGGGTCCCTCACTCCCTCTCAGAGCGAAGGACTTGCCGCCGAAGTACCAGAGATGGCGATCGCGGCTTTTTTTTTTTTTTCTTTTTGCTGCTTGGGGCGGCAAAAACCCTGGAGCCGGCCCTGGATACAATCTATGCACCCCCTCGGTGCTACACCGAGCAGGGCAGGGTTTTGTGCCAAGCGAATGAGCACTACCTCCCAGCTGAGACTAGCAGCAGTAACGATGCAAAACGACCTGCCCCTTTGAATGGCCAGCTAGCTAGTGACTCCCACGTAGTGCAGTGGGTTTCTCAGACACTCACCACTCCCATTAAAATACCCGAAGCGCCATTATAACGCATACAGTCAGAACACAAGAACGGCCCAGTCTCCTGTCTTCCGACAGTGGGCAATGCCTGGTGCCCCAGAGGGAACGAACAGAACAGGTCATCATCAAAGGATCCATCCCGTCACCCACTCCCAGCGCCTGGCAAACAGAGGCTAGGGACAGCATCCCTGCCCAGCCTGGCTAACAGCCATCGATGGACCTATCCTCCAGGAACTTCTCTAGTTAGTGACTAGGAGCTGATGCCTGTGCTATTGCCCAGGTGTAATTCAGAAAATTGTGTGTGTAAAAAAGCCCCAAATGGCTGAGAACTTAAAAGCTGGCTAGTAACAGGCTGTGAATCCCAGTGATGATTGATCGGGGGTGACATTAAACAAAACGAGCTCTCGGCCATGGTTGTAGCTGTTTCCTTTGCTCCACACTGACTCAACGGACATTCTAGGCTTCAGAGGGAGAATCCTGGAATTTTATCATATAGATGTATATATAATCTATAGCACACACACACACACACCCCTCTATTATACATGCACACAAATCCACCTCTCCCCCTCTGTTATACACGTACACAAATCCCTAAACACCCTTCCCAAGGAAAAGAAAAAAAAATGGAATGGGAAAAAAAACATTTCTGAAGAGTCTGCTCTGCCCCCACCACAGTGATGGATGGACTCAAGCAGCAGCTTGTCATCTAACAGGCCTTGTGGTAAAAGCCCAGGTCAGGGAGTCAGGATGCCTGGGTTCTATCCCGTCCTGCCCCAGACGAGACAACCCCCTCCCCAGTGCTTCCGTTTGCCATCTCTAAAGTGGGGATCTAATTGTACCAATCTCCCTGCCAGCATCTTTGTTCCATTAATGCTGGCTCAGTGCTTGCAGCTCCACTACTCAGTCATTTTTCTCATTTGCTACCGAGCCATTTCCCCTCAGTGGCGGAACCTGGGTTCGATCGGGCATATGTCGATTTTCTCCTCCTGACTGAACCACACCTTCGCTCCACACGGGTTTTTCCACATGCCAGGGCGAGCGCTGGCCTCGCGCCTGGCTGAACTGTCTTGGGGCCGCGGCACTAGCTAATAGCCGAATCCGCTCCCGCTCCTCGCGGAGCTGCTTTGCATAGCATTGTTACTACAGCACAGCCAGGGGAGGGGGGGCTTTCTGTTTGCTCTAATGGCTTCTTTCTCAGCTGTGTATTGCATCGCAGCGCCATCCCCTTGGAGAGCAGCGGTGGCTGCTGCCGCTGAGGCAGCTGAGCCGTTGCAAGCTCATTTACTGCTGGACTCCACCAGCAAAGCTGCTCTTGATGACTGCAGCATGTGTTTCTGCTCTTTGACCTAGCGAAACTTAATAGACAGATTTCTTTCCTTCCTACAGAGCCAACATGGACAGGAGCCAAAAGGCTCCCTCGCTCAGCTCTCTACCCCACAGAGACCTAACCTGAGCAAACTGGGAGGCCTCACCTCACCGGGGGGGCGACACAAAGATGGCCGTTGACGGAGATCGGGAGTGGGAAGGACGACTTTGTTTTCAATTACGTTACTTTTTCGTGTCTTTGAAACGTGTTCCCGAACACACAGCGTAACCGCCAAGCTCTCGCTGGGCTTCCTGGCGGGAGCGCGCTGCGGGCCGGTGCCAGACCTCCCCGGCAGCTGTGGTTTGGGAGGAGAGAACACAGACGGCTCTGCAGCACCCCTGCACGCTGCATTTTTCACACAGTAAAAACCTATTAAGCACACAACCATGATGCATGATAAAAGCATCGTCCGCTTAACTGCGTGTGTGCCAGCGCCCCCTGCCAGCCGGGTTGCTGTGAGGGGATGCCGGGGTTGGTTACACCGGGCCCCATGCTTGGACAGTGCTCGGGTTTGCTAAGCGCCGAGAGTGCTGCTGAGCCAGCGCATCTGTCAGCTCTGGATTGTCTGTCCCTAGGCGCACAGGGAGCACTGGGAGGTGTCAATGGCCGAGTCTTTGGCAAGGTGCGTGTGGTCAGGATTTCTCCACTTTTCCTACCTGCCTCAACACATGCAGCGGTGGGGTCGTCCTCTGCTCTGTTAAGGGGTGTAAATCCAGAGGAATTCCACTGCCACCTGTGAGTTACCCCCGATCTGGGCTGGTTTAACACTCCCCCCCCCCCCCCCCCGAAACCTACCCCCTTCCCTGCCTCACTAATACTCGCACTCTCCTGATCCCGCCCTCCGACTTCTCCACACCTCCCCCCCAAACACACATGCATCCCTTGCCTTATTCTACACCCACGCCCCCGGCCCTTCCCTCCCCCATGCTAGACATGAAAACCTGTCTCTCTCACACACCCTCCAGCCACTCAAATCTACCCTCTTCATTTCTCCATCCCCTCCCGCCAAAAACTTCCCCTGCTCTCTCAAGCCCCCCTCTCGGTTCTAGCCCCTCCCTTCTCTCACACACTCGCGGGCCCCCCCATCTCTGTCAGCCGCGGTCTCGCAGGCACAGCTGCACGCTCTGAGGAAGCAGCACCAGTCTTACAGGTGGTTTTAATGAAGCTTGTCAGGATGAGATTAACACCACGGTTAGGGGGCAAAGAAGGACAGACTCTGCATTGAAAGCACATCTGCCAGCCACCCCGGAGAGCGGGAAGGGAGGCGTTGCTTCCCGGACACCATAATGAACGGCAAAGCCCGGCTCCCAGCTTCCCCCTCCCCTTGGGGACCATCTTTAAGGAGATCTTTTATCTGTGAAAACGTGCGGCGTAGAATGAAAGGAGCTGCCTGTTCAGGGCCTGAAACCCTCGCCAGGCACCTGAGTTGCTCTCCCAAGGCCTGCTCCCCGGAGCGACGCTAAGCCGGGCCTTGGCTTTCTCACACTGGCTGGGGATTGGTCACTTGCTGGGCCCTTGTCACACTCTGAGCAGCCGCTCGGCTGAGTGGTTGTTGGCCTGAATGGTTCAGGGAGAGGCAGTGATGCCTGATGCTCCGGGAGCTGGGGGGGAAGGGAGGGAGCTTTTGAAAATCAGTTTTCAGCCAGCTCAGAAGCAAGTGGACGAAGTGGATCGTTTCCAAGCAGTGGCTTCCCCATTGGCTCCAGTCAACTGGATTCCCCAGACTTGCCCTCTCTCACTCTGTGTGTGACAAGGGTCTTTCCCTTGCTTTCCTCTCTCCCGCTTCCCCTTAGGAGCTGCACTTTAGTGCCTGGATCTCCCTGGTGTTCCCGGTCTAGGTGCGTCTGTCCCAGGAGGAGCTGGATTCTCCCGAGCTAAACCTCTCTTAGTTCTTATGGCCTCCCCCCATCTCCGTCACTCTCCCTCTCCTGCCCTCTTTAAAGGGCTGTCTCAGAAGAGCTCAGGAATCTGTGCGTTTGCCGTTGGAGCAGGCTCTCAATGGGGTATTTATAATGGATTTCAGCAGCCGTGGGAGCCAAAAAGCAGGGTTGTTTTTCGTGTCCCACCTAGCAGCCTCACACTGAGCGGCTTTATGAACCCTGCAGCACTGATGGATGCATTGCTCCGGCTGCAAAGGGCTTTAAAAACAAAAACAACTCTGTGTGGCAATTAATTTAGTGTGGGGGGGGTCTCTCACAGCTTCCTCCCCTTCTCCCAGAGCTCTGCCCCTGGAGCGCTCCCCACCACCCGCGGCCGGTGAGCCCTCACTGGAGCGGAGATCGTTCAATGTTGCCAAGCGTTAAGATGAGGCCGTCTCTGACCTGCACTCTCTGGAGGCGAGCGTCTGGCCCAGCTGTGCCACTGAGCGCCCTGCTGCAAGGTACCAGTGGCTTTTTACCTGGGCACCTGGCTGACAGTGCTCAAGGGGGGCGGGGCTATTGATGGGCACCAGAGAGAACCCATCAGGCCAACCAGGTTCTGCCTTTTGGTGAAGATGCCGCAGGCTTCCAGCTCCTGGCGCTCCCTGAGAAAAGGCACTTCTGAACGGCACTCAAACCCGGTACACAGTCCCTCATGATAACACGCCCAAAGCTTGGCTCCCCAGGACAGCCCGGCACAAAGCCAGCATTGTGTTTGGGTTGGTTGTGGGACACCACAGACTTCCACACACATCTCTCCCAACACAGGGAGTTGCTAGCTGTAATCCACCCAACAGCAGCAGCAATCCTCTACCGCCCCCCTCCCTGCCGCCTCACTGCTAGCCACATACACACCCCTCCATGCCCTGGGGGCATCTACTGGCAGCCGGGCGGTTAAGCCCCAATCCGGTAGGAAAACAGGAAAGCCAGACGGTTGACAGGCCCTGCAGGGCTCTCTTAAATATTCCGCCACATTTGCGCTGATTGATTGCAGGGGCTGGGGATGGGGGAAGAGTTGGAGCGAGTTCTCTCCCTCCCCCTTCCCCTCCCAACCCTGCCAAACGTTTCCCAAGCTGCTGTGAATTTACCTGAGTGTACTCGGCACAGCCAGACAAACTGCCCACAAAGTTACAGACGTCCTCCACTGTCCATTTGCTGATGTCTTCCAGCGCAGGGCTCTCCTCCCCATCCAAGAACAGACCTCCCATGGCGCCTGGATTGTTTGGGGCGGGGGGAGGGGGAGGAGAAGGAAACATAAATCATTAAAATCCCACACGGACACCAACAGGCCCGTGATCGGAAAAGTTCTCTCTAGCCGCACATCCATTTTTAATGGCCTGTCAATTAAAACGCTGGGCAGGGTCAGTTCATAGGCTTCTGTCTCCTGGAGGTCCCTCGCTCGGAAAAGGTGTTGGGGGGGCAGGAGGGAGGGGAAAAATCCCCTCTAATGTGTTTCATGTGTGTAATGTTCTTCAGCTGCAGTAAAGAGAGGGGGGAGAGAAGCCCCCGAAGGCGTGTTTCTCCACACGCACCGCAAAATGGAAAAACTCCGGCTGCCCTGGGAGGTTCTCTCCCCCCAGCCCTTCTCCCCGCGACGTGCTCCAAATGATAACAAGCCCCCACACCCCGCCCCGGCGGGCTGCTGCTTGGCTGGAGCTGGTGTCGAGAAGAGAATTTTCACTCCTTACGAACAAACCTTTGTTTTAAATCCCCCAGAGCCCAAAACGTCCGGCTGCCTAACATGCCCGTCGCCGTGGTTTAAATGCATATCGCCCCGTTTCTCTGCTGGGGCAGGGTCTAGCTGGGTGGGGAGGTGACCCCAAAGAACCTCACTGGAGGTCTGAGGAGAGCAGGGTGGGGTTCACACAGACAGGTCAATCCTCTGAAATGCAAGAGCGGTTCAAGTCCCAGCCCTGTCAGCAGGGCCGGAAGGCGACAGAGAGCGCTCCAATCCCAGAAGGGGAAAGCGGAGCTTTCCCTGCTTCCCAGCGCCTGACAGCATGGGACAAACATGGAAGGAGAGAGCTGGATTAGAGCCTAGAGAGGAACAGGGCAGAGGTCTGGAGAATGTGGAACGATGGAGAGAAAACCAGCCAGGCAACTCCAGCTTCTCCTGGATCACAACAGAGGAGCAAGGGGACCACCCACGTATTTACCACTGATAACAGAAAATACTCGTTTGGAAAACGCCTTATTCACCTGTGGAACTCACCACCTATGTGACCACTGAGGCCAAGAGCTCAGGAGGATGCTTAAAAGGACTGGATATTTACAGGAATCAGAACATCCACAGTCACACTGGAGAGGGCAAAACTCTCATGCTTCAGGGTACGAGCCAACCAATAACTGGAAGTGACATGTTATAATTATCTATTGTGGAGGTTTCAGAGCGTCCTCTGGACCATCTGGTGCTGGGCATCGTCCTCAGCCACATTTGTCCACTTGAAAAAGGGGCAGGAATTGTCTGTCTCCCTCCTAACTCCTTTGAAGAGGTGTGGAGTGGGGGGATGAGACGGTTCATCCTCCACACCCCGTGAGTGGGGTTGAGTAACCCCTGTCCCATCCTCCAGCCACATGGAGGACTGGAATCCCCAGCGCTTTGCTCCTTGTAAGCCATTTCATTATTGTTATTTGTATGATTGTAGCACCTAGGGGCCCCAGTCATGAGCCAGGACTCCATTGTACTAGGGGCTGTACAAATACAAAGCAAAAAGACAGTCCCTGCCCCAGAGAGCTTACAGCCCAGATCCTCAGCTTCTCCCTGACCCTTGAGTGGAGATCAGAACCTAAACCTCGGCTCCTATCCTCAGCCCCTGTCCCCCACTGCAATCTCTCTTTCACAGCAAGGGCAAGAATTGCACGCTCTGCCCTCCGGAGCGGGGTCCTCTGCCTGCTACACTCTGCAGAGGGTCCCGTGGCACCATGACATGCTGCCCTGAGGCCTTCAAAAGCTCAGTGGGCCCCTCCAGCGATGTGAAAAAGACAGAGAGAGAACCTTGCCTCTCCGCCACATGCTCCGGACTGAGCCCCCTGATCCACTTTACCCCTTGTCCTCCCAGTCAGCAAGAGCCTGGGCTTCACAGAACTTTCATGTCCCCTTATAAAGGCTTCCGTGGAAACGACCAGCTTTCCCATGCTGCAGGGAGACTCAGGAGGCGGCGGGGGAAGGACCCAAAGGGGTTTGGGACATCGCTGGAGGAGCAGCATTTTCCCTTCCCTCCCAACTATAAGACGGATGGACGGACAGACGAGCTCCCTTTAGTTACATTATCATTTTCATTCGTGGTTTGTCCCCTGCTCTGGAACCCAAGCTCCCAGCTGTTTACATTGAAGCTAGCGAGACACTGGGACGGGCGATTGTTTCCCTCCTTTTTTGGAAAAGCGGCTGCGGCTCGGTAAATAGAGGAAGTGAAACTGAACTCAATTATTCCAGGCACAGCCGACACATGGGCGAGACGCCTCCTTCTGCAGCCGGAGCAAGCGTCTCCGAGGGGATCTGACTGTAACAGCCAACGGCTTTAAAATTAGGTACTTCCTTCTTCCGAAGGCAAGCCAAGGACTGCAGCAGCCCAGTGCTTGGGAATGAAGCCTCCAGTCAGACCGCCCGCCCCGACCTCAGGCACTGCCCAAGACTCCACAGAGAGGCTGGGCGGTACCTGCCTGGCACAGGCTGTCTCCAGATCCCTACTAGAAGTTATGCAGGTAGGGTCACATTCAACTCGGTTCGCAAGTGGAAGGGCTGATGTCAGGGGACAGGGCTAGTGAGTCTTGGTGTAACTGAGGAAATCCCTCCCCAGGCACCTGCCAGGGATCCTACAATTCCTGGGGTAGAACTGGGGAGATGCGCTGAGCCCCTTGGCTCTATTTGCAGCCTTGCTAATGTCACTAACAGAGCTGAGCCAAAGGTCAGTCCCGCCTGGCAGCCCTCTCCCCATCCATGTTTTTATCCCTCCAGGCCCACAGCCAGGCCCGCAGTCAGCCTGCTGTCTCCAGGAGTCAGGGCAAGAGCACTGGGCTCCAGCCTATTAGCAGTTTCTATAGCACAGAAGTTAAGAGAGAGATGCTGAAATCTTGGTCCCACTGAAGCCAGTATCAAAACTCCCGCAACCGGGCCACAACTTCCCCCAGAGAACCCGCTCTGCGGAGGTGGCAAACACCTGGAGCTTCATGGATTTCAACTAGAGATTTGGGTGCTCAGCACCTGGGAAACAGAGGCCCTAGAAGCAACCTATTCAATCATCCCCCACTCTGCAGATTGACCAGAAGTCGCTGGGCTCGATACATGCAAGAATTGCTGGGTGCAACAGCCTGAGTTAGGCAGGAGGTCAGACTCAGTGATCAGCCTCATTTTAAATGTCCCAAGCCAGGGGGCCCCCTCCATTTGCTTCCCTCGAGAGGCTATTGCACAGCCCGCTAGATCTCAGGACAGGACTGTACAAACCCACCTTTGGGGCAGTTCATAGAAGGCTGATGAGAAATCGATTCCCAAGGTCTATAAGGGAAGCTCCCTCTGATGGTAACGGCACATTGCTGGATACTGCTGGACAGTGGGGACCCAGCAGCATCTGTCCCCAGCCAGGCTCCTCTCACTGAGTGACGAATAAAGATCCAAGGGACTGATAACGGATTACAGAGCATTTCACCAGATGGGGCCCCAGCTTGGAGGGGGGTGAAAACTATCATCCCAGGCCAGGGTCTTGTGGACAGGTGCCCACATAAAAACACCGCCCTGCCAGCTGGTATTAAATAATCCCCCCGCCCCAACTTTCTGGCAGCTGTGGTAGAAAGGCCAAGGGTCCTGGAGACTGAACTACCCATCCCTTCCAGAAAGGGGAGTCTCCACAGGGCACGGCTGAGGCACAAAGGCGGACAGGGCAGTGGAGGGGGGACTACAGTGGAGTTGCCCATGCTGTACCTATTCTGGACACAATACAGGCCCTCAGTCCCCAGCACTGCACCCTGAGAGGAGGGACATAAACACGGATATTGGTGTCCCTGGGCATTAGCACTAGGACAGGGGGAGGGATAGCTCAGTGGTTTGAGCATTGGCCTGCTAAACCCAGGGTTGTGAGTTCAATCCTTGAGGGGGCCACTTCTGGATCTGGGGCAAAAAAAATAAAATAAAATAAAAATTGGTCCTGCTAGTGAAGGCAGGGGGCTGGACTCGATGACCTTTCAAGATCCCTTCCAGTTCTACAAGATGGGATTATCTCCATAAAATTAAAAAAAAAAAAAAATGTAGCCCAGACAGCAGGCCTGTCGGCTAGCTAGAACAGGAGCTAGCCTCTCCTCACTGCCAACGGGGCCTCAGTCCCGACAGCCAGGCCCTGTTTTCTGCACAGACATCTGATCAGGCCAAGAGCATCAGCAGCAAAGCTCCCTCCTCCCCCCTCCCAGCTCAGCACAGGCCCAGAAGCCAACACAGAGATGGGTTTAATCAGTCTTGTTATCGCTCTCGCATTCCCCCCCCCCCCCCCCCCCCGTGCACACACCACTGCGAGTTCGGGTCATGGAGCAGCACTGGAAGGCTCATGTTAATTGCTCTCCAGACTGTGGATCAATAAAAGGATTTTAGCCTCCCGCACACTCCATCCTTCACCTTTTCCAGCGGAAGGGGGGGAGAAGACGAGAACACAACTCCGCTGAAACCTTGAAGAGATGAGGTCATCCGGCAGCCGCCAGATTCCCAGGAGGCGGCTCAGGGAATCGACCAAACTCTGGCTGCCTCGTCAATATTTTTGTCATCGGGGACAGAAACCAGTTCTCTGCCTCCAAAGCATGAGAGGAGCCCTCCCTGTTCTGGAAACCTGGCCGGGCTGTCTGAGACTCCAACCATCTCCTTTCCCTTCTCCCCCATCCTCGGGTCTGTCATGCTACCAGCCTCTTTAGATTGTCAGCTCCTTGGGACAGGTCTGTATCTCCTCACCATGGTGTCCAGCATACCATCAGGCCCCTGTGAGCTACAAGAGCAGCCCGTGGACAGGAAAGATTTAAGAGAACGTCTGTTTTTCTGTCCTCAGGCACAAACTCCTCCTGGGGCCAAGGCTGACCATTGGTTGGGCAATCTGTGGTCGCGCTCCTCGGACCCGGGTTAATCAAAGCGCCCCAAAACACCTGTAGCATAAAGATGTGTGAGAGAGAGCACGGTCCAGGACACTGCACAGGAGTTCTGGAGACATGAGTTCTATTCCCCACTCCCCTGCTGACCTGCAGCGTGGCCTGGGGCCTCAGTTTGCCCTCCCACCCGTGATCTGTCTCGCCTACGTGGATAGACTTTTCCTATGGGCTTGTCTATATGGCCATTTACAGTGCGGCGAGCTGGGGTGTCAATCTACAGCGCAGCACCTGCCACACACACAGTCACCACGTGGACCCTGCTGCCGTGCACTAAAAGTTCCATCGTGCACGCTGACCTACTGTTGTTTCTGCACCACGGAAATGTTAGCACAGGGTCCATGCGGCCAGGTAGAGAGTGGCATACTAGAGGGTTGTAGATTTACTCCCCAGCCTGTCGTGCGCTAACTCTCCACAGAGACAGGCCCTATGTGTCTGACCAGTGCCTAGCACAGCTGGGGCCACTGATGCAATACCAATCACAACTTTCATAATAATACATGGGGTGCTAGCTTAAAGCAAGAGAGCCCTCACGCAATGCAACACCGCGATGATCCCCGAAACGGGAGGGGTCAGTTTAAACGGGGCCCTGATCATAAGTAATAATAATCCAGGGCCCATTCTCGTTTCTGATAGTTTGATGGAGGTGGACTCCCACCTGCAATCCACACCCTGCTCTATAGGGTCGCACATGGAGTGGCCAGAGCACAGAACCGTGCGTTTCCCCCTTGAAATGACTGTGAGGGGAAGGCTCCCACAAGGAAGCCTCCTCTGTTGCAAGCAGCAGGAATATTTATTGTGCTGGCCACCTACTTGTCCCAGAGAAATTGCTTCCTTCTTCTGGCTGGACGGTGGCTCCGAATGGCCCACGTGTGAAGGGCAGCCGCACTCGTCCTGCCCGGTTCATTTATTTATAAAGGAGAAGGCCTGCCCCCCCCTACTCTCACAGGACGCAGCATGTAGCTCCTAACTGCTCAGCTAAGGCATTACACCATGCATCTCTTTGGTTCTGGGTCGAACTAGCAGGGCTGGTAATGCTGGCTGAGGCTGGGAATCTGAGTTCAAGTCCCACCTTGCACTGGGACGTCCTTTACTCACGGGTCGGCGTGTTGCATCAGTGAGTCAGTGGCGGCCCCGGGTGGTGCACACCTCCCTCCACGTGCAGCAGAATGCAGAGCCCATTTTAAGAGCCAGGCACGGGACACAGAGAACGTGCTTTCCCGCGGGCTGGCAGTCGCCTCAGTGACGGCTCTATCACGCGTGCGTGACCCTATTGTCCTTCCTTAAACCTTGCTGTTGGGGGGGACAGATCGGTTGGATTCCAAACAACCAGTCCCTCTCCTTTGGAAAGGCATCGGAAGGTCACGGGGGCGAGAGTTCACCAAACCCATCTCTGTCTCTGCCGGAACAGGGCTGGGCACATGACAATAACCACAGAGGAGCTGCTGTTTCTTGCGGTGACAAAGCTGATGTTCCTGATGGAGGGCATACGGCGGGGGGGGGGGGGGGGTCATCCACTCCGATGCCTCTTGGGGGGATGATGACCTGAGTCATCACACCCCCCATCCCTACATGCATACCCTTCCGCTTTGTCCTGACACGCTCCTTCTGTCTGCAGAGAGCTGGGGTAAATCAACAGCCCCTGCTCCGTTGAGTTCCCTCGCTGAAGCTTAAAGTTAATAACACATCAGAGATTTCTCTGAGGTATACAGGAGGTTGCCATGGGAACACAGTCAGGTGACAACACGTGACTTTCCAGGGCAAGAGGCTGGCCAAGGAGGTGGAATCACTGTTTGGGGACCTCCTGAATCTCTGTCCCAAAGGTATGGATCCACATGCAGGAGGTAATGCTGCCTGGCATCCGGAGATGCCCCAGGCACAATGGGACGGAGGGAGCTCCAGCCTTAATTCTGCATTTCCCCCTCATCAGACTATGGAAATACAGGGAATGTAGATTTGGCGAAGACCTAGCAGATACTCCAGGCCGTCCTCCACCAGCTGTCAGAGAGGACTGCTTCCTGCAGTACATTCCTGAGCGGTATGTCTAGCTGTAACACTAGCAATGGGCTTTGCAGTGCCCTGGGAGATTGTCTCATATGTCTATTTTTCAGCTGCCCACCCTAAAAAGCTTTCCCTTGCTCATCTCTGTCCTGTTACATTTAGGCATGTCTCCTACGAGTATCCCAGACCACAGGCGCCGACTCCGTGGGTGCTCTAGGGCTGGAGCACCCATGGGGAAAAATTGGTGGGTGCTCTGCACCCACTGGCAGCTCCTCGCCCCGCTCACCCCCCACCCCAGCTCACCTCCGCCTCCACCTCCTCCCCTGAGCGCACTGTGTCCCGCTTCTCCCCTCTCCTTCCCAGCTGTTTCGCGCTGGGAGGGAGGGGGAAGGAGCGGGAACGCGGCGCGCTCAAGGGAGGAGCTGGGGAAGAGGCGGGGCCGGGACAGGGATTAGGAGAAGGAGTCCAATAGGGGCAAGGAGGGGGCGGAGTTGGGGCAGGGAATTTGGGGAAGGGGGTGGAATGGGGGCGGGGCAGGGGTGGAATCGGGGCGGGGCTCGAGCACCCACCAGCGCCGGGAAAAGTTGGCGCCTATGCCCCAGACAATCCTTGCACCTCCTTCAAACACTGAGAGGATCCCACCTCTCCACAAGCCTGGTTATCTTCTAGCCCAGCTATATATATTTAATTCTTCCAGACTTTTCCCTCACAGGTCAATCCCTCCAAGCCCTTAATCATCTTTGCTGCCCTTCCCTGAAGCCCTCTCCAATTTATCAATGTCTGTCTGGAACCGAGGCTCTCACATAAGGTCCAGCCAACTCCATGTAGACCATCCCCTCTGCTCTGTGAGGACGTCATGCTTATCCATACAGCTCAACACAGCATGGCATTTTTCCTACCACCGTATCATTAGCTTTGCCAATACCCCCCAGTCAAACGCTCAGCCCACAGCTTCCAGCCAGGCACTTACAAACCTAAGGGGGCAAGAATTCGCCTTCAGTTACATTTATGTTCTCACACTTTGAATCTCAGCTATATTGGAATTGGAAAAGGTTCAGAAAAGGGCAACAAAAATGATTATGGATATGGAACAGCTTCCGTATGAGGAGAGATTAATAAGACTGGGACTTTTCAGCTTGGAAAAGAGATGGCTAAGGGGGGATATGAGAGAGGTCTATAAAATCATGACTGGTGTAGAGAAAGTAGATAAGGAAGTGTTATTTACTCCTTCTCATAACACAAGAACTAGGGGGTCACCCAATGAAAATAATAGGCAGCAGGTTTAAAACAAACAAAAGGAAGTATTTCTTCATACAACACACAGTCAACCTGTGGAACTCTTTGCCAGAGGATGTTGTGAAGGCCAAGACCATAACAGGGTTCAAAAAAGAACTAGATACATTCATGGAGGATAGGTCCATCAATGGCTATTAGCCAGGATGGCAGGGATGGTGTCCCTAGCCTCTGTTTGCCAGGAGCTGGGAGTGGGCAACAGGGGATGGATCACTTGATGATTCCCTGTTCTGTTCATTCCCTCTGGGGCACCTGGCATTGGCCACTGTCAGAAGACAGGATACTGGGCTAGATGGACCTTTGGTCTGACCCAGTATGGCCATTCTCACATTCTTCCTAACTGCTGCACCATCCAAGGTCCATGTCTACTTGGGTCTAATATTTGCCCTTTTCCCTTCTCACGTGTTTGTGGCTCACCCCAGCCTGGTTCCATCTCTGGATTAATTAGTGGTCTCTTTATGACCTCTCAGTTATTTTGTTTCAAGCTGGATCCTTGACATTCATTTTTGTTTGTTTGTTTTAACTCTAGATGCTCAAATCCCGCAGAGCCGGATGCACCATGAATAGATTATCAGTCCCATTCTTAACAACCTGTAAAATCGATACTCTGCCAAGGCCCCCTGCCATGCCGGTTCCCCCTATAGCTATCAGGCTCTCACCTACCTGCGTGGAAATAGGGGCTCATTGTATAAGGGAATCCGAAGGGCAGCGGCTGAGGTGGTGGGATGGAGGCCGGAGGGAGGTATTTCACCTCATTTTTATTGATGCCTGGGCCGAGCAGGTGGCTGGGTGACTCAGTGCTTGAGGAGCTGCAGGGGGCATTCTGGCCAGAAGACACTTCGCTCAGCTCCTTGGCCCCCTCGTAGACCTTGCTTGTCTCTTTGCACTCTTTGAGTTCACTGGCTGAGCTGCTGCTCTCAGCTTTCAGGCTCTCCGGCTTCTCGTCGCTCACTTCAGCATCGCTCTCCGAGTCTTTCATCTCCTCGTCGTTGCAGTCGGGCACGCCATCCCGGGCCCGGGGCTCGGCCAGCTCCTTGGCCTCGTGCAGACCCGGAGGCTCGGCCCGGTGGTGCACTGATTTCCGGCTCCCCCTCCGGCCCTGCTCCTTGGGCGGGGTGGTGCTGGGGACCCCATGGTTGAGCGACAGCAGCGGCGTGTTGTTGTGCCGGAGCACCAGCATGGCATTCCTCCGGGAAAGTTCGTCCCTCAGAGGGTGCCCCTCGGGGATGTCGTGCATGTTCCGCAAGGCCGGGTGGTCCTGGGGTAAGCCCGGGTGCAGGCTCAGCGGGTCGCCGGCCAGTAGCCTCTGTCGATGGAGATTCTCCAGCTCCTTCTGGCGGATGATCTCGGCCGACATCTCAAGCCTAAACAGGGAGAGAAAAATGAGTAGGGTTTGAAGATCAACTCCTCGTGCACTAGCAGCTGCAGCTTTGGCGCTCAAGGGCCTACGGCCGAGTTTGGTGCGCGGGTGGTTTTCACGCCCTTATATTGTTTCAATTAATTTCCCTCTGACATTGCCCTATTTCTGCTGCACAATCCAAGGCAGGGAGTCCGGATTCCATCCACCACCGTCGTCCCCTGTGCGAACCGGGCTCCTTGGCAAGTTCCTAGCAGCAGGGCTGGCTGGTTGAGAGGTGCTGGTAACGGGATACAGAGCCTTTCACCCCTACGTCACGGGTTCACACCCAGCAGGCAGCACCGAAAGCTCTCACCGTCTCACTCCTTAGAAGCCCAAGTGTAATGAGTCTGGCGGTCTCAGGTTACATCCAAAGGGTTCCAATCAGAAAAACCACCTGCATAATGGTTGTCTCAGCAGAGAGGCCAAGCACTGGATGGGGTGAGGGCTGAACTAGGCTCTCTGAGTGGAGAAAACTCACACTGTCGCTGCCTATGCTGTACCTGTCCTGGAGAGGGAGGGCTTCCTTCCCCCGGGCTGCCCATATAGCACCAAGGTCACACCCTATTCTGGCTGGGGCCAGGAAGAAGGCCAAAAGGGGACGGAAATCTAGCCCGAAGGACAGGCAGGCTCACATGCAGGGAGCTCCTCTGGGGCAGCGCTCCATACCTGGCAAGATTCTGTTTCCGCAGCATCTCCTGCTGCCGTGCAAACATCTCTGCTTGTGCCGGCTGCAGAAACCCGTAACCTGTGGGCAGGGGAAAGCATGACAGATGCAGGGTTATACATGGCAGCACTCACTCGCTGCGGGGCCAGACATGTGGCCACAGAACTGCTCCCTCCGAAAGATCCCTCTCCATTCTGGGGGAACTGTCCTTGCTGCAATCCCAGTGAGCAACACAGATGTGATTTCCTGCAGCTCACAAGACCCTAGCTATGCCAAAAGATTTCCTGTAACGCTCCCACAGGGTGACTTCATAGCCGACTCTATTCCTGCTGTTCCACCTCATTCAGGCTGTACAATGTAATAGGCACACCAGGCTGCGGCTGCCTGGTGCAAGGAGCCTGTCCCCCCCGTGAGCCAGGCCAAGTGCAGGTCTTGCTCTCTGCTAGCACTGCTGTGGGGCTAGACACACCAAAGGGACCAGGGAGATGGCATTGCCTGCTCCCCTCTATACGGGCCAGTGGAGCTGAATGGCCACAGGAGGTGCATTCGGGAGCCACAGGAGAGGGCAAAGCACCCACCAGTGCATCCACTGGGGTGAGGCAGCTCTGGGATGCTCCCAAGGCAGGGCTGTGGCAACGAGCGACAACACAGCCCTCTCCTCCCACATGCCACGTGGACCGTCACCCGTGCACTCACCTGGCGTCTGGCACAAAGCTGAAGGCACCCCCAGGAAGGGAGGTCTCAAGTGAGGCCCTAGCGCGATGTGGGGGGCATTCTGGGGTGACAGCAGAGGCGGTGGGTGGGACATGTCCCTAAAGAAAATGGAAGAGATTTAGAGATTTAGCACTGCCCGGTGCTGATCGCAGCAGTCCGAGCGTGAGCTTCGCTCAGCAAGGAGATCCATGTCTCAGCGGGCGCTCCAGCATGCTGTACTATGTGTTCTCTGACATATATACACACACACATACACACCCCTCTACAAGTACAGCTGGGGCACACCTGTAGAAAGACACCTGCATGTTAAAGGACAGCCTCTAGCTCAGTCTCTTTCTAAGTAAGACTGATACAGGCTGGTCTGCCAGCAAACTGCCACCATTAGAACCTGAATCCTCATGCTCAGCAGCCTGCAACTCCATAATGCACCGGCTGTCTCATGCACAGTGGTTCCTCTCTTACACACACACACACTAATTGCACCCCCTTCCCTTGTTTGTACGTGCCTGAGCTGGACTATACGATCTTTGGGACAGAAGCTGTGTCTGACTGGTTTGTAAAAGCCCCAAGGACATTACATTACAGAATGGGCTGTAGCTCAAAGTCTCTGCTCAGTTCTCATCTAAGCAAAACTCTCCCTGAAGCCAGTGGGTGCTGTGCCTGAGTTAAGGGCAGAGAGAGATCCCCCTGGAGATAGATGCAGCCGAGCAGCAGGCCCACACTTGCTGTGTGAGCGACCTAGAGGGAATGCTCTCCAGGACGCTATACAGATGGCTCAAAAATTGTGCTTGCCTTGAGACAAAGGAGTTCGCCGTGAGACTCCTGCTGGCTGGACCCGGGTGCTCACACCAGCACAAGGGCGTGCACATGCTGCACTTTGACAGACAGTTGGGTCTGCCATTCCCTCTCCTGCCCTGCTCCTCCAAAAGCTTCTGATATTCCCATTGACCATGGGTTTCCCAGCCAGCTGTTCCGGCCCCAGAGAGGCTCCTGCTTTGTGACGACCACAGAGTGAAGAAAACACAACATTTGATGAATTAAAACAAAGCAGAGCGGAGGAGGAACAGGCCAGGAGCTGCCCATTCCTTTCCCACTGAGCAGCCACCAGCACCATCCGCCCCAATCTCACAGGGGACGTGAGCCCTCTGCCCCCACTGAGCTGAGTGTCATTGATGCTCATGGGGCCAGTATCCACACGGAGCCAAGCGCAGACACTCAGGGTCTCGCAGGTCCTGATGTGAATGAAAGTTTGGTGGGGGAGGTCACAGCAGCTCACAGTATCAGGGTGTCAAAGGTGGGGAGGAGGTGGACACAGCGGCTCCTAGCATTGGCTCCGTTGTTACCCACACACCCGCTGCTATGTCACTCGTTCCCAGAACTGACCCACGGCGTGAATGGAGATTCGGGAGGCTATCCGCGCTGGCAGGTTTGGGGTTGAATTTCGTTCTTTATTTGCAAAACTTGATAAAGAAAAAACTGAAGGGGATAAAAGAGGAGCCGACAATACAAATCTGTACGCAGGGCAATGAAACAGATCCCACCTGCTTCCCAGCTTCCCGCTCCCAGAGATTTGGCTCTGCTGGGACGTACGCTGGGAGTTGGCTGGGCAAGGGGTGCACAGGTCAGCACCGGCTAGCACTTGTCTTTCACCTCAGCAAACCTCAGTTAAAACTTGACTATGTTACAAGTCAAAAGATATTTGATAGTTTTGGGGGTGAGGGTCTCAGTGAGGACCCTAACAGTTATCCAACCACTACCCTGCTTGGTATGACTGGCAGCCTCTTCTCTGGAGACAAGGGGCTGCTGCAGGTCGGAGGCAAGGTGCACTGGCAGAGCTCTGGTGGGGCCTAGTGCAGGTGAGTGTTGAAGTGGACTGGCAGAGCCGGAGAGAGGGTTGGCATAGCAGGGGGCGCTGCTGGTGAGCGGAGAGGTACCTCGGCAGAGCCAGGGTGGGGTCCCATGCCTGAACATGATGCAGGACGACAATACAGCACATTGGCCTTAGCCCTGACTCTAGCTAATAGTAACCGAAGTGGAAGGTAGGGGGAGGGAGACACCACCAGAGAGCAGGCCAGGTAAAGCCCGCAGGAAGCAAATAGGAGCCAAGGTCTCTTCCATTAGTCAGATCTGCCTGGGAAGCCTGCAAGCAAATCTCTGGTTTCCGGCTGCGCATCTCTTAATTCCCTTTGATGGCCACTTAGAACATTATTACCTTCACCGGGGCATCTAGAGGCAAAGTCAAGCACTGTGCTGTTTCCCTGCCCCCACACTGCTGGGGATGCGTTATCACTCTGGTTCGTACAGCTTCGCCCGATTTCCAAAACTGTTCCAACAGCAGGGGAAGGGGGGGGGCGTCTCCTTCTTCTCTCCCCTCCCTAGATCTCCCTGAAACGGCTCTACCCCTCCATCAGCCAGCACCATTGCTGCGACACACATGCAGACCCAAAACAGTGGATGGATTGAAATATTTCCCTGAATCAGACTTCCCTCTCCCTGCCTCCACCCATTTCCATCTGTCTTTGCCTCCCCGCCTGTCTCGTCCTTTTCTCCCCTCACTCTTTTTGTCTGTCTGTCTCTCTCTTGCCCTTTCCCTCCCTCCTCCTTTTCTGTCTGTCTCTCCTTTCTCCCCCTCCCAGCTCTCCTCTAAACTAATTGCACAGCTCGCTCTGTCTGGAGGAGAGCCACAGATCGATCCGTCGCTGTTGAAATGTTAATGCTAATCGTATAACCGCTCCGCCAGCGCCTCGCGCTTCAGTGGCAGCTCCAATTAATCTCAGGTAACGCAGCGCGTGACCTTCGGCTCAGCGCGGGGCAGCAGCCAAGCGATGCTTATGTAATTACACCATGAAGTGTGTAATCACCTGCCCTAATCCCTGAGGCCTCACAATTAGCTGAGGCCTCGGTCGCTGGGCTGCCAAGTGCTTTGCCACCCCGGACAGCCTGCAGATGAATAACGGACAATTAAAGCGGCATGACGGGGGCTAGGAGGTGTCGGTTCGATCGTAATTAGCCGTAATCATGGGGAGACGAGCCTGGCAGACGGGCTGTTCGTTTTATAAGAAGCAATTTAGGAAATCAAGTAGCTTTTAACTATTGCGTGGCCTCCCTGCCTTTTATAAACACAGAGGAGGGGAGTCTGACTAGGAGACGCCGTGGCACATAAGCCCCAGGTGCAGGCTGCACAAAGGGCTCGCAAGGAAACGTTAGAAACAAAGGGAGTGGCGGCAGCGCCTCATTTTAGCTGGCAAGAGACACTCTGCGATAGGGATGAGGAAGCTCTCTGTGGGGATCAGGGCCGTGCACTACAAAATTAAAGGCCCTTCACTTCCGCAGCAGCACAATGTCACCTTACAGGGCCGAGCTTTGATCTCGGAGGCCTTCGCCTGCCCTCCGCTGTTTTCCGTTCGTTCCCATTCTATATCGTGTACTCGGTTCCAGAAGCCATGTAATAGGCCCCACTTCCCTTCCTTTACAGGCACGCTGATCACCTGCGACCGTGGGCTGGCCACTGTTAGGTATGGAGGTAAGAAATAATCCCGGGGAAGGAGGGAGATGCTGGCCCTGCGGTACCTGAGGGTGCTGCTAGCTGAATTTATAGGGCACGCCAGGCCACAGGAGTTACAGGGAAATGTTAAAGGAGAGGCTGTAGAGGGCTCTGTGGGGTAAGCTTTGGGGGCTCCTTGCAGCTAGAGGAGGGAGGTCCTGTCTACACTACAAACGCAACTGTGTCAGGGAACAAGCCCAGGAATTTTAAAAACAGGGCCGGGCCCTGTCTATGCCACAAAACAGTGCTTTAGTCATGTCAGGCGAGGTGGCCAGATAACAGCAGCATTTGCAATGTAAACAGAACTTTGCAGAGTTCTTCGAGTCTGTGGCCATAAGTAAGGGCTAGGGCTAGGCAGTGGGCTGAAAGCCACACCCACATAGGGGAAGGAGGAGCAGGGCGAGGTGAGAAGGAAAAGGATTGTGACCCAGTCAGCGCTCCCATTATTAATACCGCTATGCAACCAGCTTTGCTACTCTGAAACCAGAGCTGGGAAGTCAGAGGTTCCAGGTGGACAGACCTGGCCTGACTCATCACAGCCCTCCTCCTTTGCCACAACTCTGCGCATCAGCCGGCATCCACTCCTGAGCCACAGGCGAACTGGAGTCAAGTACCTACGTCCCCACAGCTCACCAAGCACTTTAGTCTGCAAAACTGGGCTAAGGGGCAGGGTAGTTAGGTGCATGTACCCCCATCACCTTCCCAATATCTAATGCTGCAAAACAAGCAGCTGTAGCTGGAGTAATCGGGAGGCTAGTGTCAACCCTGGTGCAGTTCCGCAGATCACACACGCGATGCATATGATCGGGGAGCAGAGCCCCCATAGAGAGATCACAGTTTAGCATCTCCTTAACAAACTGGAAATACTGGGAAGGACGTCACTGGGAGACGGTGCCCAAGAAACATCCCCGCCAGTGTGGTGCTGTGCCCATTTCTTAATGGGGCCCTCGGCACAAAGCAAGTCAGGAAGCGGGACACTTTACGGCAATGAACACTGTGGTCTTGAGGAGCATCATTCTGAGCAGAGTCTGAATCCTCCCTTACCCCAACCCAATCCTCTCTGTACTCACGAACTGCAGCGTGGCCCTGCAACCTCCCATGTGCCCTGGGCCCCAATCCTGACCCAGAAGGGCCACTTGCAAGAGTGAGAGATGACTAGCTAAGAATGGCAGCGAGCGTGCTAATTAACACCAATTGTACTGGTAGATTTGGGGATATGGAGACCTCCTAGAGGGAGATCCACCAGCTACTTCTACACAGGCCAGATAGTAAAGAATTATACTGAACCAGTGACCCAGGGGTGAAAGAGTCCATAGCCAAGCCAATAACCAAGGCCACCTTGCATACAGAGCTCACATTGAAAATAAAAACCTTGGGCCAAATCCTGAGATCCCTGCTCAGTTACACCTCAGCCTTTACTCGGGTAAAACTCCCACAGGAGTAAGGACTGAGAAACCACTGAGTAACAGCTCTGTCCCCCGAGAACCTGAACCTAGCCCTTGCCAATTACGTTTGTTAAGCCCCGTCCTTGTTTCGCAGAGAGCACTTCTGCAT